TTTTTTTTTTAAGTCTTTTGTGTTTTCAAATGTTTGCATATAAAGATATAAATTTATTTTGAAAGTGGCTTTAGCTACATACCACAGATTTTGATATGAAGTATTTCATTATTGTTCATTTTAAAATAATCTGTAGTATTAGTTTGGTTTCCTCTTTAACTGAAGAATTATTTAGAACTGTGTTTTTAAATTTCCAGGTGTAAAAAATGTAGATCATGGCTACTGAACTCTCTCTATTAGGCTTTTCCATGGCTGAATCTGGTGTTACCTCATGCTAAAAAAGGACTGGACCCTTTCTAGGGAGGCTTCACCAGGTGAAACAGTAAACAAATAAGTAAAAACTTAGTCATATTTTTAATAATTAACATGTTTTTCCCCTTTGTCTTTTATTTCCTTTAGTCTTACTGCACTGATCCAAACCTAGTGTTAGATTTGAAGAATCTCATTGTGCTTTTTGCTGATACACTTCAGGTATGTGACTTCTGTTCGCATATGATCATCTACATTAGTATTTCATCAGCTGTTAATCTTTTCATTGTCTCCATGAACTTGAATAATTATCTTTTATTTTTTAGTTATGTTTATTCTTTTCTTAGAGCTAGATCTTTTTATCTATTTATAACATTTTCTGGGCTTCCCCCTGATCCTTTATGTTCTCGTAAATGGTTTCGACACCCTTTTTTCTCTCAGATCAAATGAGTTAATTTAACTACTCACTACATTGGTTTTTCAAAATGTTAATACAGATATGGAACTTGAGTGATTTTGTAGTTTCTTTAACTACCATCTTGAATAATGGTGATTGATTTGAACCATATATTATATCCAATAGAACAGCATTAGAAGTAGGTGAGATGGGTAGCACTTTCTCTCCCTACTCTGAAGGTTGGTATAGGTAGTAAGAATTAGAGGAGGAGTTGTAGAGAGAACTTAAGTAACAACATGCCCAGTATGTATTGATTTCAATTTTCATCTTTTCCTTTATCTGACTGGCTTAAACATTTTGGTATGTATTTTTTAATTCCTGAGAGATAAACACTAGATATTAGGTGGGAATGAAAGATTCTACTATTTTGGTTTCATTTAAATTGCTGTCCAAAGAACAAAATGTCTTCTAATGCCTAATCCCTTTCATGTTGCTAAAAAAATCACCTTAGAAAATGAAGCTATTTTCTTATCTTGTTTCAGGTGTATGGTTTTCCTGTAAACCAGCTTTTTGACATGCTGTTAGAAATCAGAGACCAGTATAGCGAAACTCTGCTAAAGAAGTGGGCAGGTATTTTCAGGTGAGAAATGATCTGTCGTATGTGTATTTATGTGTAAGGTTTTTCAGATGTAATAAGCAACAAGTATATGTGGCTTATATTTTCTAGTTACTCCAGGTTATGATCCAGAATTTAAGTGAATTATAATCATGTCTAAAATGATGTTCCCAAGATATCCAATCTCATAGCTATGGTGCTGGGAAGTCCCCCTGCTGTATTTTGGTATTTTTGTTTCCTTGGATAAATGTCAGGTTCCTTGGTTCAAACCATCCAGATCATCTTATATCTTCTCATTCTTTTTTTCTGTTTTCTTTTTGGGGATCATGTATAGTCTGGCTCCAAAAGGTAGTGGCATTTGAGCCCTTATGAATAA